CTAGATAGCTAGATAGTAGATAGATAAGATTAGCTAGATAGCTAGATAGATAGATAGATAGATAAACAGGTCATTGTCCAATCATACATCCCAGCAACATTCACTATGGACGTCTGACAACCAAAATGGTGTAGCTATGTGCATACCTGGAGAAGAGATGTAGGCAAAAGCCGTAAAAAGGCAAACCATGAATATACTGTACATAAATGGCAAAGCTTTGAATACCAAACCTCTTATTTTTGATTAAAGCTTCAGAGCACTGGCAAGCTTCTTTACTGAACCCTTTTCCAGACTAACGTCAGGGCTTCAGAAAGCCTAATTCGAAAGGCTTTCTGGTTCGAGCATGCCATGCTTATTTCAGTAATTGGCTCTGTCTGTGTTTTTTCTCACAATTGTTATTTCTGTCTCTTTAAAGGTGGCCACCATCAAGATACAAAAGTGCAAGTTGACATTAAAGTGAAAGACGTGAACGACAACCCCCCAGAGTTTGCGAACAACAATGAAGTCTTCATGTGTGAATCCATCTTACCAGGAAGTGTATGTTCGTCCATGTATCCAAATGTTGCATAGAAATTGTTTGTGTACAGCAGTGGTTCCCAAACATTCTCTGTTTTCTTATGTTTGTCCATACTTTATGCATTTATTTCTTGAGCAGGTAATTGAAACTGTAAGTGCTGTGGACAAAGACGAGATGACCAACAGACAACACTTTACATACGCCTTGGCTCCAGAAGCGGCTCACAACCAAAACTTTTCCCTTAAAGACAACCGAGGTAAAATACAGAAATATTTGAATATTTTTTCATTTTTGTTTTCAATTTATGGTATAGTTTGTCAGCTGCTTTTACTGTAATCTAGTGGCCTCTGATGGTCTTTATTTAGTTTAAGTTTAAGGAACTCACTAAGCAGGTAGAACCCAATTGCAGCACTTTATACATTCATTATATAAGTTCAAAACAAGAATACATCCAACTCATGAGATAGTAGGACCAGTCAGAAAAATATCTCACCGCTGCCAGTCAAATTATAAGGGCGGTGGTGGCTTGGTGGTTAAGGAAGCAGACTTGGAAGGTTTCAGGTTCCAACTGCCAGTTTACCACTGAGGTGCTCTGAACATGGCAGTGCTCCCTGATCACTTTGATGATAGGTAAAATTGAGAGGTCACATTTCACTGTGACACAATAGCAAATAATTTACTTTCACTAAAACCAGGCTCATAGAGGCACAAAGCAAACACATGGCATAGCCAATTACACTAAACAATGAATTGACAAGTACAGAGAGAGCAAGTGAGACAAATGACAAAGACACAGGTGAGGGTGATCACAAGTGAGACAAATGACAAAGACACAAGTGAGGGTGATCACACTGATTACCCAAGAAGACACAGGCAGAAGGGAAAGAAAACCAACGGACCTAATACTGTAATTTCTGGACTATAAACCGCTACTTTTTTCCACACTCTTTGAACCCTGCGGCTTAAACAGTGATGCAGCTAATTTATGGATTTTTACAGGCTAAGAAAGTTCATACCGCTAGCAATCATCGTGGGGAGCGGTTGCACGAGAGAACGGTAGCAAAAGCTGAGAGCAGTTTGAGCACTGTTAAAAGCGAGAGAAAAAAAAATCTTTCTGTGTAAATATCCCATGTTACAACATTGACACCAGCGACCTATAGAGAAGTGTGGCCTATATATGTACAATTCTTTTTGATTTGGTGGGTGTGGCTTATATTCTGGTGCACTCAAAAGTCCAGAAATTACAATACCTAAACTGATCTTATCTCAGTTCGCAAAACCCAACCCCCTAAGGAACAGTTACAATGAAAACAAAGTCTGATAAGCTGGAACTCTGACGGGTAAAGTGGTGAAGCGATGTGTATACCTGGTGAAGTAGTTTAAGCCTAAAGTAGCATTAGCTATTTGTTTTTGAAAATAGGGCAGGTAAGTACTTTATTCACCTCTGAAAGGACATTTTTGAGTTCATCCATGTTTCTATGAACACCAAGATGCAACACTCCCAGGATTCCCTCCTATGTATGGTCAGCACTGGTAACTCATCCATCTCCCATATCAACAGATGTGATGTGAGGAAGTCATGCAATTAATCGCGATTACAATTGTTTGATTGTTGCCCAGCCCTAATAAATCCAAATATATGTATTTATATTATATAGGCGTTCTGAATACAAACAACTGTCCACTCTTTTTCCACAGACGGCACCGCAAGTATTTATGTGCTTCGCAAAGGTTTCAGCCGACTGACCCAGGATGTTTACTACCTTCCCATTGAGATAAATGACAAAGGCGTCCCTGCTATGAGTAGCACGAACACCTTAACTATCAGAGTATGCACCTGTGACAGCAAAGACACCATCCTATCCTGTAATGTGGAGCCCTATGTCCTGCCTGCTGGACTCAGCACTGGAGCACTCATAGCTATACTTGCCTGCATTGTCATCTTGTTGGGTAAGTAAAAAAAAAAATCATAATTCAGTCACCAAACTTGCCTTCAGAGTAAAAAGAAACAGACAGCAGAATACAATGTGGAGAGTTAGTAGAGGGTAGAAACACTGAAGTGGACTGACTTACAGTACACAGGATCAACATTGTAAAGATGTCATCACATTTGTCTTACAGTATAATCTTCTTAGTTCAGTGTTCACAAATACAGCAGTTTATAGCCGTTACATTTTTTGTGGTGTTTAAGTGTTTTTAGCTGACAGTTTATTTGATTTAATTCAGCAGCCAATTTTGATCTTAGGTCTAGTCCAGGCATGGGCAACCTAAGGCCCGGGGGCCGGGTGCGGCCCGTTTATCTTTTTAATCTGGCCCGCCAAACTTTTCCAAATTAATATAATTTATATTATCAGTATAC